GCGAATGGCTGCGTGGGCTTTCTTGTAGAGCTCCTCCATCTGTCAACACCATGGAATCAAGAGTCATTAAAGTTCTACAAGAATTTCAAGAACTGAAAGGTTTCATGACAAGTCTATTCAAATTGAAGGACTTGATGGTCAGTATTAAAGACTGTTTTTTGTTGCTACATTGCAACCAAATTGGTTACCATGGCTTTATAAAAAAAAGGTATGATCACCAGTTTAGTAGGTCTTGAAATTTAAAACTAAGGCCCCTTCTTTTTCTAGTAACCAAAGCTTTATTTCTGGCAACCATTTTAAGGATTTAGCTTGCCAGATTTTGACAATAAAAAGTTTTGCTTGGAGCACTTTAGTACAAAATCCATGAGATCGTGGCACATAAATTTATTCAGAGTGTATCAAACTATATTTTTGGTTTGAATTCACTGACTTGTCATAATGATACTCTTCCATTGAATCAGATTGATGGATAGGAATAGGTTGGTCTGCCCACCTAATCAGTAGATTGACCTGTTAACCAGCCATAACCAAAACTGAATTTTGCACCCAGGAATACTAAGATCATTATTAAAGCATCTACATAGTATCATTTTGGTCCACAAAAAAATAACATTCATCCAACAGAAGATGAAGTCCTTACCTGATCTGGTGCAATGCCGTTCTTAATGTACTGAGAGAACTGTTTCTTGTAGGCCTCTTCATCTTGGTCTCTCAACTCTGTCATGTAATTTGCCACGTGCTGACCAAAGATGTGATTACGATGTATTTCAGCATTGAAATCTTTGGACTCGCTATCATAACCTGGGAAACGCTTCATGCTGCGGAAAATGACAACACAGATGTAAGTGCATTTTTCATCAATACTTGGTAGGGGATGTTAATTTCCCACACACGAGATTACAGTGTGATGGATGTCCTCCCCTGGGGTGGGAGGGGTGGGTTTATTGAGCCCGCAGTAATTGGTGCAAGCTGTTGCGGTGTCCCTTCCAGTTGGCGAAGCTAAATAAATCAATCTTTAAGGTGAAAGCACTTTAAATAGAAGACAACATTACTGAGCAACAAATTGAATCACAAAGACTATTAACTGCAAAACTTGGGAATGAATTATGAGACAGCACCAGGTCATGAGTATCCAGGAACTGATTCTTTTTCTGTCTCATTCCTGTTGTAAATTTTACCACATGTAAATGAAAAATAAAGGAAAAAAAGCAAATACAAGCAAACCCAAATAAAAACATACTGCTTGACAATTTCCTTCCTCACTACATTTGTGCTTGACAGTATGTGAAAGAGGCAAGGGGAATTTAACCCCTTCACTCCCAGCACAAAGAGACAATTCTGTGCATTGTCTGTGATACATTTCTTACAATTTTATCTTGGAAAATTCCATGTTAAATAAAACAATAACCCTTATTAATATTTGTATATGATAAACAGATATTATTCCTTGGTCATTCTTGGAAGTGAGATCAATCCTTGGCATGAAAAGATACAAGTCAATCTCATAATTTCAAATCAATATGCCAGGTTCTGGGATCATTGGATATTTTTCATTTCACAGCAGGTTTCGCGTCTAAACTGTATTCTGCATTACCTATGAGGGATGTCAAGGCCCCCATCTACAGCTCCTTTCAGAGCACCAAACACCCTTGCTCCAGTGGTGGTTCTTGCCAGTCCTACATCCAAGAAAGCCCTGAATGCTCCTGGAGATCCATCAACACTCTCCACATTGTACTCTTCTCCATTGACCTCATCTGTTCCCGTGTAGATCTCATGCAGGTTCAGCTTGGTGAGCAGCTGTCACAAAAAGTACAGAAAATAAGGTAGGTAAACAACTGCTACTCAAAACTGCCAACTTGAACATACAATTTTCTCCTAGGCTTGACAACAATTTGCAGCAGCTGAAAATTGTAAATGACAACAACTTCCTTGCTCCTATTAGCTGAAGAAAGAAACTCAAAAGTCACACTGGGGTTTTTACTCTTACCAAAGTGGAAAAGGGTAAGTTACAAGTACAATGGCAGTTGCATACCCTGGTCATTCAGAAACATTCAGATATGTAGGACAAAGAGAACGGAGGACTTTTTTACAAATATTTTAAAAGGATCAATTGTTATTATCATTGCTTTAGTCGCAAATTTTAGTTTTTAGATCATAGTTGTCTTGAGATTGTAAAATACACTTGATAATTCAGGTCCTTTACTGCAAGAGTTTAATAAACTAGTCATTCATTCTAGTCATTCATTTATTCATATGTCTGGGGTTTACATAATTATATTGATCAGTGGTTGCTACTGGTTGAATGGGAAAGAGACACCTCAAAAGGGACCCAACCAAACCCAGACAAAAACTCTTAACAGAAGGCAGAAACAGGCCTTAAAAGAAGTTGCAGTTGACTACATGAAATATCAGAGAACAGAAATTTCGTACTGTAGCATGACTTTGGTAGTACATGAAGATAAGAAGGGATGACATTTATATAGATATAAGGGGGAGGGGAGGGGGGGAACTCCTGCTATAAGTTGGGAACCTCAACTTTGTAGAGACTGATTGAGTTACTTGTTCCTCTTAGTTATGAAAATGTAGCCCAAACATACCATCACACCTTTCCTAATTGAAATACACAAACTAATCCCGAAAGAAGAAAGCTAAAAACAAGATAGAAAACAATTGTTCAGAGCAATAGTACTTACACGACGTGCTAGCAAAAGACCAGTGCAATAAGCTGCAGCATAATTGGTCAACCCGACCTTGATGCCATAACGGGGAAGCTCATGTGCATAAGCAGCACTGACAATTACATCCCCTTCCAGTTTGGCATACGCTATCTGCAACACAATAAGTGAGTGAAGTAAAACTTTGCATTGTTCAAATAACATTTGTATTTTTTCTGAGTTAAAACCTCTGACAAAGCAATGTTTTACAGAATACAGACGACAAAAAAACAAAATAGATCAACACAACATTGGAAAAAGTTGGTTTACACCAAAGACAAAAACTGCATAGCTCAAATCAACCATCCCATGGCTGAGTAGAGAGAAAAGAAAATTTGTATTGTATAAGTATTTGACCAAGAACACACCACAGGATGAGCTGGACAAGTCTCAACACCCAGAGTTCAGCACACTAACAATAAGGCCAGCAGATCTACCACTTAAACCCTGTTCATATTGCATTAATGTGATCCAGAGCCTCAGTTTTCCTCAAAATCTATCTTCTCTCCCAACAATTTCATAGCAATATCAAGTAAACGGGCTACGAGAGTCAAAAAAAGATCAGCTGGGAGACGATTCTTTGAAATCAACCGAATTCTCGATCTGGTTAACACATACATTAGAAATGTGGGGTTGCACGATTTTTTTTTAAGAAATAACCTACACACGATACTTCACAAGCTTAGTACTAAGGTAAGTTACAAGCTTAGTACCAACCTGGCATGTGATGTCCTTGTTAGTAANGTTAAAACCTCTGACAAAGCAATGTTTTACAGAATACAGACGACAAAAAAACAAAATAGATCTACACAACACTGGAAAAAGTTGGTTTACACCAAAGACAAAAACTGCATAGCTCAAATCAACCATCCCATGGCTGAGTAGAGAGAAAAGAAAATTTGTATTGAATAAGTATTTGACCAAGAACACACCACAGGATGAGCTGGACAAGTCTAAACACCCAGAGCTCAGCACACTAACAATAAGGCCAGCGGATCTACCACTTAAACCCTGTTCATACTGCATTAATGTGATCCAGAACCTCAGTTTTCCTCGAAATCTATCTTCTCTCCTAACAATTTCATAGCAATATCAAGTTAACGGGCTACGAGAGTCATAAAAAGATCAGCTGGGAGACGATTCTTTGAAATCAACCGAATTCTCGATCTGGTTAACACATACATTAGAAATGTGGGGTTGCACGATTTTTTTTTAAGAAATAACCTACACACGATACTTCACAAGCTTAGTACTAAGGTAAGTTACAAGCTTAGTACCAACCTGGCATGTGATGTCCTTGTTAGTAAACCGAACGACAAATCGATACTTAGGCGTGTTATACTTGTTCTTATCCTGGGTCACCAGACGTTTGCGGGCATAATAATCGGTTTTACCCTCTATTATAAGAAGGAAACACAACCATGTGACAGTGAGTTCCTGTAGCATAGGAAGATTCGACTTAAAATGCAACTGCGAACTTAAGGGCAGTCTGTAGTTATGTACTTCAGGTAAAACTGACCTCGTCGTCTCTTGAATTTGACCTGGAAACGCTTGAAGTAAGCTTTGTTCTTGATTACTTTGACAAATCCCTATTTGGAAAATTAAAACGTTTTAAGATGGAAGTCCCACTTTCATAAAATCCATCTGGAGATATCTCTACCATCACACCATCCCAAATGTAAGAAAAGTCATCAAAGGAACAAAATATCATCAATTCAATTAATTATAGCGTTCTTTTCATTTAAATCTTACCATTTCTAGGATTAAATTAGGGAAAATTTAGGACACCTCAGGTAGCTTCGGCTGGAGGTTGACAAAAAAAAAAGAGGAATCACCAATGGTAGCGCGCGGTGTTTGTAGGGATTGAAAGCTTCATGATGTCATACCGGAAGTTGATGGAGTAGCATTATAAAACGAGTCTTAAAATAATATGGCTAAAGGATTGTTTACTTAGTTACAGTACATATCAAAATGAGACTTCCAATAAATTTGAAATTCGTGAAAATTTATCCGAAACTGCTTTTGCCTAAGGTGAAATACAGTATGCAGTAGCTGAATTTGATGTGCTTTGACGATGACGTCATGGTAGGGAAAGTCCCGTAACCCAGTCCCTCTCATGCTTCTGAATAAATCAATATGGCCTCAGTTTTGGAAGAGACGACGTTTGAGAGTTATGGGTAATTTCGAAACTATTTGCTCCTGAACAAAATGAATAGTTCCTCTGAGACTAACGGTATCCTGTACAGGATTTCTAACGAGATGAGAGGTCAGGATCTTCAAAATATGAAACAATTGTGTCACGGACAGATACCATTGCGTGATCTCGAAAAATCGACTAGTCCAAGTGCCTTGTTCCAGATCATGCTTCAGAGGAGATTGATAAGTCCTGGTAATTTGAGTTATTTAGATCGCTTATTGGATCAGATTGGTAGAGCAGATTTAGCACGCAAGATTCAAACTAGCGGAAACGACACCACGATGGAAACAGAGAGCGCTGTGTCTAGCAATCCAGCCGACAAGAGTTATCGAGCTTTCCTCATGAAACTCAGTGATGAATTAACGAGAGATAACGTCGACTCGTTGAAGTTTGTTGCTGATTTACCAGGTAATTAACTTGCTTTTATATTCTGCTCCATCAAACCGTCCAAAAAAGAAAGCAAACAGATAGGCGAGAATCCGGGGGGACTACCACATAAGAATGCCCGGAGGTCGGGAACTATATGTATATCCTAACGCCGTCGTAGAGTTTACTCAGTAGAACAACATACTCACAGAACAACATACTTCTATGAGCAATGAAGTTTCTTTTCTTAACAATTGTTCTCATCTCTTTACCTTGTAGAACCACATTTATCATACCCTTCAATGTTAAAAGTGAAACTGAACTTGAATTTATTTTTTATGTATCTGTACGGTGAGGGAATGATACTGTATCTGAAATTAAGACCCATGCTCACACAATAGTAACATTCTGCTATGAGCAACCAATTTTCCTTTCCCAACCAATTGCCCTTAGTCATTTTTATTTATTTATTTATTTTCCTAATACTTGCTCTCCATCTATGCGATGAGTCATAGCAAGAAATACCCACCCATCCTACCCCAGGGGAGGACATCCATCACACAGTAATCTCGTGCGTGGGAAATTAACATCTCCTGCCCCTAACCCTGCAGGAGACGGGACATCCATTTATTCGTCCCTATCCGAGAAGACTAGAATATCCAACCATTTCTTGATGTTATAAAAATTAATAAAAAAATAATAATAATAAACAGTTTTTAATGTGGAAAACCACTTAACTAGAAGCTAGTTTACAGGTTTTCCACCAAACAACTGAAACAAATAATTCAAATTGAAAAGAAAATTATTAAGAATCCCAACTGGCCGAAGGCAAACCAGCTGGCTATATTACAAGCATGGCCGAGGATTTGAAACTCGGGGCTACCGTGAAACAAATCCAGGTAGTGGCCAGGGAGGGACTTGAACCCGGGAGCGGCGGATCGCAGGTCTGACACGCTGAGCACTTGAGGTTTTAGTTGTAAGTGAACAGGGAAAGCTTCCTGTGGAAGAAAAGAACCCTTATGTAAAATAAGGTCACACCCACCTCTTGACAGTATGATCCTTCCTGTACAGCCATCTTTCATAAGGACTATTTGCTTAAGAGGTCACTTTTTCAAAATTC